GATAATAATTTAAAACTGACACTTACAATTAAATAAAACAATCACTCATTTCAATACAATAATTCGTTATCTCTTTTTATAAATGCAACTGAAAATTGAATTGTGAAATGTAGCGAAGATAAAATTTTATGTACAGATAGTAACAACAGTTGGTGTGAGCCGGTGGGAATTGCATCACAATTATGTATGATCATCTAGTGTGGAGTGTGGACAGGTTATTTATACAGCACAATGGATTTATGTAAATCAAACTGTTTCAGATTGTATGGAAGCGTCACTGTTGTACGCTATAGATTGCTCTGCATAATGCGATGTGGGTATTGAAACATTTTGAAGTATTTAACATATACGGGCAAAGAGTATTATATGTAATAAAAAGATTCGAATTACACCATCTAGTTTATTATATACACGATATAGGATACTTCCATACAAACTTTCATCTCCTCTTCCAACCCTTCACAACCTTTTTTTCGCATTAAAAAGTAGCTACGTTAATTTTCAGGGTCTCAACCCTGAAAAATAACTATCTGTGTCGCAAATTTCACTTAAATCGGTTTAGTAGTATTGACGTGAAAGCAAGATAGACAGATAGACAAATATACTTTCACATTTATAATATTAGTAAGTATTTCCTTTAACTCGCGAATTTAGTGAAACAGAATAACGATATATTTTTTTTCACATGAATTCCCATATAATATTAGTAGAATATTGAATAATTTATTACAACAAAATTAAATGAGAACAAGTCGAATAATCCTTTTGTTTTGTAAAAAAGTAAAATATAGATTGGAAGAGCGTTGTTGTCTATTTTTTGTTTCGATTATTTAGAGAATATCGCGTTAAATACAATTTGTGTGTAATGATGAAACAATAGTAAACAACAAAGTGTAATAGAAATAGTTTATTTTAGTATTGTTTCAGTAGTGTCGTTTCTTTGATCGTTGTTCATCATCGTTGATCGTCGTCGTTATATGTGACGAAATAATTATTTCACAATAAGAAAAATTAGATTCACCTCATCAGTCTACAAATGTTTTCCGAATATCATTTTAAAGAATAGTGGTAGTATGTAATATTGTCTTATCTGTGTTAAGTTGTAATTAAATTATTAAATAATAATAATTAATTAAAGAACTAGTGAGGAAGGAATTAAATAAAGTAGAGTTAGGAATTAATTAACTAGGCACTATGAGATCTACCAGCTGCAATTATACTAAATGTCGGATAGTCGCATATTTAACTTGATGAGTCTTCGTCGATTAAAACTTGTAGGGAATCTTAACATTTTACGTTTAGAACTTGTTAAAGCAAGTCCGAGGTTGAGACATCATGAATGATAGCTCCAATTTCACTTCAACAGTCTTAGAATTTTCAGTTTCCATTTAATGTAAAACCTTACTCGTATATGCATGTTTTTAAATTTTTTCTATTCATCCAAGGATTTTAAAGAACATTGATAATCAACCATAATTTATAACTGTCTTCATAGACAGTCCAGTTTCAAATTAGGTTTTTAATATATTATTTATATTTGTATATATTATTGAAATAAAAATGGATTTTCATTATTTTTTAGTCATTAAAGTTTATTAAATTTGGATGCTTCAGATACTTTTTACGTTTAATGTCTGTTTTTCTTTGGTTAAATCGGTCAAGCATTAACTGTAGAATAAGCTGTTACATATCTATAATTAATAGATAGAGACATTCTGAAAAAACATATATTTACCTAATATTATGAAAGAAATATCTCGGATATGTCCTATAACTAAATTAAGCAGGATTGTCAATCGTTATGTGTGTGTGTGTATAATATGTGTATGTGTATAATACTACACAGTTTTAGTATAGTTGGATTGTCCTTAAAAAAAAATGGTTTACCTTAGGGTAAACCATTTTTTTTTCTCGGTTAGCCGAGAAACGACTATGTCATTTACGTCGAATAATATGGGTAACGAGGTAAATTTTAATTAAGTCCTTCATTGCGCTATAACTTGAGTATATACTGAGAATGTTGCATATTGTCTTTTCATTACAAACGGATCCTAAGTAAACTGGACTATAAGTTCAAATTAACTATCAATTTAATAACTAGCAGAAGCTCATGTCTGGGGTATAATTAAATAAGGCCGTCGTTGGCAACTTGTGGGTACCTCACCAGTTACTAGTTAATTATGTGTTTCATAAGTGCTTTGATTGATACCCATAATATTGAGGTTGATGAAGTTACAGTTAGTTCGAAACTCGGTGTCATAGTTACTGCCTGGGGCTTCTTGGGTTATCTTAAATTTGATGTGTTAAGGTGCGGCCATGTTTTTACCAACTTAAAAGGTGAGGTTCTTAATTCAATTGGTAATGCATGTTACCCGATACCTTTTATATTTCTTAGATGATTCTGATTATTATATGAACAGTTTTTTGTATTAATATTAATATATTACGTACAACAATTGCTTTTAGGCAGTACTGAATTCTCATAACCAATATATAGGGTTTTGAGGATCAATTAGATTTCATATTTAGGTTCATATCGAAAATAGGTATTTCAGTATTTTGATAATAATGATGTTGGGCGAAATCTTCAATACGCTGACACATCATATCGACATAAAATATCTTTCATTCCATTCATATCGAAACAATTTGTAATGTCGCTGATGATGATTTGAAATATTTACTTAATAAATCATAATTTACAGATTTAATATTGTATATTGTTACATGGTCTAAAAATTATACATCTTAGTACCTATAATTTTTCTGTAGCTGTGTTTGTCACCTAACTACACGAAAATGGCTTAGATTCATCTGAATGAAATCTTGTTTGTTGACCGAATATATAAATATAGTAACTACATATCTACATGTTACGTCCATGTCTAAAATACTCAGAAATATTGTTAATTATTAAAATACATATCATTCATAAATTATTTCCTTACTTTCAAAAAAGGGTTGCGTTTCTAAAAAGTAAAAAAGGAGTACTCGTAAATAGCTTTGTTGTTTATTTGCTTGCTTGCTAAAAAGCCTTAGGGATGTATATTAAAAACGAGCAAAAGTTCGCTGAAATCCTACTAATTCTATAGGTACAATATTAAAAAAGATATTTGGGTGGTTGTTACGCAATTTCATATACACGGCTTTAGAAGTTTGGATTAAAGACATATAAACATGAACATGTATTAGATAAATATATAGAATACTTTTTATCTCAGAAACGTTACCGGACTTTGTGAACCGAAAAGTCTGCGTATAGTTTTGTCGCAACTGGTTATGAAAATGGAATTAGTTAATTAAATTGTTTGATATACGAATATAATACTAGGTTACTATGGTTTTACAATACGTTCGATACCAAAATACACAAGTATATACACAATGCAAATGGATACATATATCAGTGGCACTCAATGAGGAAGTAGCCATTATTATTGCTAAAAGTTGCATATAGATGGCGTGATTGGTATCGATGGAATTCTTCTTAGTTTTGCAAACGTTTTAAAAAACAAAACTGTGTTTTCAAAAATGTTTAATCAATTTTTAAAAAGTTATATATACATGTTAAAATGAAATAATGCGTTTAGAAAAGTAATTTTCATATATTTACTCATTTTGTTATTTTCCAGTACTTAATTACACTTTAATCAGTGCTAATATGGGGCTCAATGTTTTCAAAATGCTTTCATAGATGGCATTGTCGTCAATTTGTATCGGCATAATTAAATGTCTTTTTTATATTTTCCAATAATAAGCACTTAATATATTATTATTGTAAATTAAACATATAAAAATTTTTTAAGTAAATTAAAAATAGCCGAACAAGCAAGTAATAATATTTCCAATAATACTTATGTATGAAGTGTTGTCATATTATAAATAAATACATGTATTATCGATTTTTTTTAATAATCGATAACAGGATTTTATTACGCATTATTCGATGATGCTTTTTGTACGGGTATCTATTCCCCGTACTTGTTTGTAAGGTTGCGGGTGCAGGTGGAAACAAGAAAGACAAGTGTAATTATCCTCTCGAGCAGAGTTCGGTGGTCTGTACTAGCGATGGAAGCGGAATGAATTGTGCCGCGTTCGGCACCTATATTTATACTCCGCCCGCTCGCACCGTGTCACGTACTAGGTAACGATTGTGTTACGCACATAGGTGCGAGCGGGACGGAGAGCGCGAAAAGACCACCTCTACTCGCTACTTTATTTATTAATTTAAACTTTACATACAATACAATTTAATTCTACCTATTAGGGAATTGAAACTACTACAATTATAAATTTTATTAAGCTAACAATAATCAAATATTTACAATAGTCGCGAACATATCTCCCGCCGCAGCTAAGCTGTATTTAATTCGAGTTCGCGTTGTTCGATTGGCAGGATTACTAATTTCTTCGTAGGCCGCCGAAGTATCCCCTTGTTAGTGCGCACGTCGACCGCCCGTATTTCACCATCCGGTCCCGGATACGTAGCCACCACCACGCCGCGCGGCCAGGAGTTCCGAGGCAGGTTGCCGTCCGCCACCAGCACCAAGTCTTCTAACTTGATGACTCCGTGTTTAGCTCGGGGCTCCCGCCGGTGTTGTAGCTGGGGTAAATATTCTGTTACCCAGCGCCTCCAGAAGCAGTCAGCGAGCCACTGACTGGCGCGCCACTCCTTTCTGCCCGCCGTATCGCCCTCAGCGAAAGCTCCCGGCAGTGGTACGCGGGACGGACCTCCCAATAGGAAGTGGTTGGGGGTGAGTGCGTCCTCGTCGTCTGCTGATGTCGACACGTGGGTGAGAGGTCGACTGTTGAGGGTGTGTTCTACTTCCACCAGCAGGGTGAGGAGGACTTCTTCTTTCGGGGCTCGTTCATGCAGTGTCGCGGCCAGCGCGGCTTTTACGCTGCGCACTAGTCGTTCCCAGGCGCCGCCCATGAAGGGAGCGCTCGGTGGTATGTAGCGCCAGCGTATAAAGCGCACCGACGACTCTTCTTCCATGGCTTCAGCGGCTGCTTTCTTCATCTCGAGGTCGCTTGAGGTTGGTGCCTTGGTCCGACCACAGCTCCGTGGGGCACCCGCGGCGGCTTATAAAGCGCCGCAGAGCCATTACTGCGGAGTCGGTGCTGAGGCTGCCGGCGATCTCCAGGTGCACAGCCCTCGTGGTGAGACATGTGAACAGCACGCCGTACCGCTTCTGATGCGTGCGACCCACCGTCACTGTCATCGGCCCGAAGTAGTCTAGGCCGGTGAAGGTGAACGGCCGCTGATGATGTGCCAGCCTGCTGCGTGGGTGGTTGCCCGTTGATGGTTGTGCTGGTGCTGCTTTCCTGATGCGGCACGTTTGGCATCTCTTCAGTTCACTACGAACGGCATGTCGTAGGCGCAACACCCACATGTGTTGACGCACCTCGTTCGCAGTGGTTTCGAAGCCCCCGTGATGAAGTTTTCTGTGCACCCATGCTATGTACAGGCGTACCCATACATGTTGACCGTCGACTATGGGTGGTTCCCGTTGCTCCGCGGACAGATCGACGGCAGCCGACACCCTTGAGCGGAGTCGCAGCACATTGTCTTCGTCGATAAAAATGGACAACTGTATAAGTCGACTACTCGACGACAGTTGTTTATTGCGTCGCAACGCCGCTATATCGATGCTGAATGCCTCTTCCTGTATTGAGCGGATCCATAGCCGACGGGCGCGTTCTAAGTAGTGTGTGTCTATGGGTATATAACACACAGGCGCACGTACGTTTTTTCTTTTCGACGGTTCTGGTTTTCTTATCTTGTTGCTTCGCCACGTGGGATCGTCTTCATGTTTTTTGTTTCTCTTGTGGGTAGCGACGGCGCAGTGTTGTTTGAGTGGTCGTAATTTATCTATAAATTGCAATACGCGGGCCGTACTGCGGACGATCTTCATCCAGTCGGAGAATCGCGCGGGATCGGGCAACGCTCGAGATAATCGTGTTGCATCTTGTATGGTGTGGGCGCGCTCTTCGCTTGTATTTTCCGTATGGTGGGAATCGTCTTCATGAGGCCACTCTTCTTCTGGTCGATATAGAAACTGCGGCCCCCGGAACCATCTGTGTGTTGAAGTGAAGTGGTGTGGCACGTCGCGTGTGGCATCATCCGCGACGTTGTCGGCCGTCGGCACCCATCTCCACTCGTTCGTTTTCGTATCTTCCATAATTTCAGCGACTCGGTGAGCGACGAAGGGCTTGAATGCACGCGGCCCGGTGCGTAACCAAGACAGTACGGTACGCGAATCCGACCAGTAGACACGACGGGCAGGTTTCAGATCGTGTTCTTCGACAGCCGTGCGTGACAGGCGGCTCCCTAGTACGGCCGCTTGCAGCTCCAGACGTGGTATAGTGGTGACCTTGTTCAAAGGGGCCACTCTTCCCTTGGCTGCGATGAGTGACACACGTACCTCGCCGGTCACGCATACGGCCCGCCAGTATACGACACAGGCGTATGCATCTGAGCTCGCGTCGACGAATGTGTGAAGCTCCGTCGTACGTGCCGTCGCCACACCGGGGTAACACCGTGGTATTACCAAGTGGGGTAACTGCTGTGCGTGCGATATCCAGCTCCGCCACGCTGCTGCTTCCCGTTCTTGCAGTTCGGTGTCCCAGCCGATACCCGTGCGCCACGTTTCTTGTAATATCTTCTTGGCTTGTATTGTGACGGGTGTGGCCAGGCCCAATGGGTCGAACAGCGACATAACGGCGCGGAGGGCTTCTCTCTTCGTTGGGGTGCGTTCGCCTCGTATGATGTGTAACGGAAGTTTGTTCCCGTTGAAGTTGAACCCGAGACTGTCTTCCTCAGGCCGCCACACCATTCCCAGTATCTTCTCAGCGTCGAGTTGCACCATGTTCTCTTCATTTCTATGTGAGAACTCTTCTCGTACATGGCGCGAGTTCGATGCCCAGCGCTGAAGATAGTAGTTCGCCCGGCTGTGGATGTAGGCGACCTCGCTTGAGACTCGTACGGCTTGCTCTTCAGTGTCGAAGCTAGCGAGGTAGTCGTCAACATAGTGATTGACAACCACCGCTGCAGCCGCCTCCGGGAACTCTTCTTTATGTAGTTCGGCGTTCTTGTTCTTCACGTATATCGCCGTGCATGGCGACGAAGTGGCCCCGAAGATGACGCTCTTCATCCTATATTCGACAGCTGGACCCTGGCGTCGATCTCCTCTCCATAGAAACCGTTGCATGTCTCGGTCTTCTTCTCGTATTGTGACACGCATGAACATATCCTTGATGTCCGCTGTGACCGCCACACGGCGCTGTCGGAACCTCATGAGGACCCCAGGTAGTGATTGGAGTAGGTCGGGTCCCGACAGCAGCATGTCGTTGAGACTAATGCCCCTTGTCTTGGCGGCGGCGTCGTGCACGATGCGCAGCTTGTCCGGTTTCTGTGGGTTGATGACAGCGAAGTGTGGCAGGTACCATACTCGTTCAGTCTTCACCGGTGGGGCGATTTCTGCATATCCCCTTTCTAACAGCGTGGTAATTTGCTGTTTATATCTGTTCTTCATGTCTTCATTCTTGTCGAGTTTTTTCTCAATTAACTCGAGGCGTCGCATTGCTGAGTCGTAGTTAGCCGGCGGCGTTGCGTTGTCGCGTTTCCATAGCAACGCGGTCTCGTAGCCTCCCGCCGGTAACGGGCGAGTTTTTTCTTGCAATATTTTCAGCGCGCGTTGTTCCTCTTCATTGTATGAGCGCTTCGGTGTGACGCCCAGTGATTCGAGAGCGAAGTGTTCTTTCATTAATCGCTCTATGGATTCTTCATTTTCTTGCCCGTCGACTAAGTGACTGATTCTGTGCACTTGCTGTCTCGCTCTCGCCGCTCCCGTGCCGTGCAACACCCAACCCAGGTCGGTGAGTGATGCGACCGGTTGTGTCTTATTGCCTCTTCTGACTTCATGTGCGAGCAGCAAATGCCAGTTGTCTTGACCCAGCAGAACCGTCGGTTGACCTTCTTCATATGTCAGCTGATCTATTATATCGTACAAGTGTGGACAGTCTTCTATTGCGCTGCGTGATACTGTTTGTGGAGATAACAGTAGTTTCTTCATGGTTCGCGCAGACACGGCATGATCTTCCGATCTTCGTCCCCGTATTGTGAAGTGGACAAGCTTCGATTCATCGGCGTTTATGCGTGTCCCGGCCACGGCCTCTATGTAGAAGGGTGCGGGAGGACCAGTGGCGCCGATTTGCTTCGCTGTTGCTTCTTCGATGATGGTGCACGTTGCGCCGTCGTCCAGGAGTGCGTATGTATCGCACGTTCCTTTGGGACCGATCACTTGTATCGGCACTATCTTGAGGAATGCGATCTTCTTATCTTCTCTCGCAGACGCGACGACTGCGGCTGCTTTATCATCGGAGGGCTCGCTGTCCTTCTTCTCTATGGTGTCGACGTGCAGGAGTGGGTGATGTAGGTGTGTACACCCACCAACGTTGCATCTCTTCGTCTTGCAGTTGTGACGAAATCTTTTTATCCTCAGGCAACGGAAACATAGCCTGTGTTTTTTTGCTATCTCCCATCTTGCTTGTGGCTCGGCGTTCTTCACAGTGATGCAATCGGGTGGTGCGTGTCCCTCCCTGTTGCACGTCGGACACGGCGGTGAAGTCGGTTTCTCCTGCGTGATGTATGTTTTCACGCTTCTCTTCGTTGCTGGCTCCCGCCGGTCTTCATTTACTATTATTTCGGCGGGTGCGAAGTCACCGCACCTGGCTGCGGTGATTTGCAGGAACTTGGAGAGCGTTATCAGGTCCGGTTGATCAGCTGGCTGTTCTGCTACGAAGTCGTAGTATTTGAATCGTAGCGCAGAAGGCATCTTCTCCGTGATGGATCTTGTCACTTCTTCGTTGTACAAATAGTGGTTCTTCTTCAGGGCTTGAATTGTTGCAGTGACATTGGCTATTCTGGATGCGAATAGACAGATGTCCTTGGGGTTGTCTGACAGCCGCGGCAGCGCACGAAGTTTATTCATCTCGGCCATCACGAGTGCTCCTGGACGGCCGAACCTCGTAGCAAGTAATTGTATTACTTCTGCTGCAGACGTATCCCCGACGAAAAGACAGTGTGCAGCCTCTTTGGCCGCACCCTTTAAACACCGACGTAATCTACCCAAGTTTTCTTGCTCGGTCAGCTGCCCCGCAGACTCTTCATAGGCCATCTTCCAGGGCAGCCATTCGCTTGACGCGCCGTTGAAGGGTGGTAGTTCTGTGACTCGCGGCACCGTGGAGGGCTGAATTGCGCGAGCTGCCATAGTCATTGCAGTCGCCAATTCCTTATAGTCGATGCCCCCTTCAGTGAATCCTCTTCTTTCTTCGTTGGCATCATTGGTGCTATGGAGTCTTCCCTCGGACCGTTGTGGCTTGCATGGTCCCGTCGGAATGCGTCGCTGCACGGCTGCGGCTGCGGCGCTTTCGTTCCCTCTCCGGCGGGTATCGATGAGATATTAATCCCCTGATGCAAGTCGGCGGTCGTCCTCTCTGTGTGCGGCTCCATTGTGAGTGCCAATGTGCTCGTCCGGCGAATCCAGTCCGTAGTCCTCTCTCTTCTTAATGTGGCGGCGTCCTCTTCATTTTCGTCCTCCTCTTCGTCGTCCGTGTCCGCCTCCAATGCTGCGACGCGTGCGGCGGCCAGTTCTACCTCCTTGCGTAGCAATTCTTCTCGGGCTTTAGCCAATTCTTTCTTCTTTTTTGAAGCTGTGGTGCGCGGCGCCCTTGGAATTGTTGTGGTAGTCTCCGCAGAAGTCTCCGCGGAAGTCTCCGTGGTAGCAGTAGGTTCCGAGGACGTGTACGTCGTGGTGGTCGATGTAGTGGCGGCAGCAGGCGACGTAGTGGCGGCGACGGTCGGCGTAGCGGCGACAGGCGACGTGACGGCGGCGGTGTTTTCTTCGTTTGATTGAGCTTCCATGGCTGTTCTTTGGCTTCTTGTTGTTGGCATCTGTGATCTTGATCTCTGTGCAGTCTTGCTTTCTTCTTCCAACAATCCGGCTTCTCGAAGGACCAGATGTACGGGTATCTATTCCCCGTACTTGTTTGTAAGGTTGCGGGTGCAGGTGGAAACAAGAAAGACAAGTGTAATTATCCTCTCGAGCAGAGTTCGGTGGTCTGTACTAGCGATGGAAGCGGAATGAATTGTGCCGCGTTCGGCATATATTTATACTCCGCCCGCTCGCACCGTGTCACGTACTAGGTAACGATTGTGTTACGCACATAGGTGCGAGCGGGACGGAGAGCGCGAAAGACCACCTCTACTCGCTCCTTTATTTATTAATTTAAACTTTACATACAATGCAATTATATTTAATTCTACCTATTAGGGAATTGAAACTACTACAATTATAAATTTTATTAAGCTAACAATAATCAAATATTTACAATAGTCGCGAACACTTTTAATGAATCGTTGTGAACAGTAATTTTTCATTATTTTGTATTATAGCAGTGTTCCGTTTCAAAGAACGGAATATAGTAGTACATTATTAGTGTCGTTGGTTATTTGCATTTGTACTGAAAAATCGATTACATAATAATTTAAAATATCGAGTACGAATCGTAGTTGTCTTCGAATACTGGCAACTGGTAAGATTAAATTAGTATTTAAAAAAAGAGAGAAATCGATCCTAATTCGAATACCATAAAGTTGATTTTCCTTTCTCATTAATATCATAGCAGTTTGTTTTTAACTTGCGTATGACTCTGTGGTATGATGTTTAACGTGTATTGTTATTGTACGGTGCATACATTTCAAAAATTATATTTTAATGTAGGTACATACATTACTTTCATACATTTCAAAAATTATATTTTAATGTAGGTACATACATTTCTTTCATACATTTCATACATGTCAAAAATTATCTTTTAATGTAGGTACATACATTTCTTTCATACATTTCATACATGTCAAAAATTATCTTTTAATGTAGGTACATACATTTCATACATTTCAAAAATGAACTTTTTATGTAGGTACATACATTTCATACATGTCAAAAATTATCTTCTAATGTAGGTACATACATACATTTCTTTCATACATTTCATACATTTCAAAAATTATATTTTAATGTAGGTACATACATTTCATACATGTCAAAAATTATCTTTTAATGTAGGTACATACATTACTTTCATACATTTCAAAAATTATATTTTAATGTAGGTACATACATTTCTTTCATACATTTCAGACATGTCAAAAATTATCTTTTAATGTAGATACATACATTTCATACATTTCAAAAAGTATCTTTTAATGTAGGTACATAACACCCCATGTCAGACCCCTTGTATTTGGAAGAAACTTAAAAATAATGCCAAAAATATTAGATGAATATATTTTTAATACGAATATTGTTTTATTTTTGTTCATCAACTTTATCCCTCACTAACAATACTAGTAGTAGTACATAACCTGGTTTATACCGCTAAAGATATTGAAAGATATACGAGTAATTCAGAATGTTTGGCGTGAAAGCGAGACAAATAGACAGACTGAGTTACTTTAGCATTTATAATATTTTTAAGAATATCGCTATTAAAAATAGGGGTTGGTGAAAGACGGGTGAAAATTTAGGCGTGTATGTATTTTCAATGTAACATTATAAATAAAAAAAAATTGTCCATAATACAAAAAAATATTTTTTTTCGGGAGGCCACCCCTATGACTTAGGGGTATAAAAAATAGATAACAACCCTACCTCAGACCTGGCAAGTATACATATCAATTTTCATCATGGGAGAAATATGGCAACTAACACTGTGATACAAAATTTATATATTGTAATACACTACCACTAAGTAGATATATATATATAGCGGCGCACCCGCCGGTAGCCTCGCGCTGTTGGCTCGTTGCTAAGCAACAGATACCCCGGTAGCGGTTGGGTAACGGGAGGCCGGCGGCAGTTGGTCGTTGAATACCGCACGCAGCCCAATAGTCTTACAACTTATTTTAATTATTTTTATGACGATCCAACAATATAAGATATAGCGGAATTCTCATTAGGTAAAAGAGGTACCCCTCTTCGTAGAATACATGAGGTATATACCAGTAAATTAATTGTAGCTAAAATCAGTCTCATACATATAACGATTGAAATAAAAAAACGTATAGCCCGATTTTGATACGTACGAGTATAAACGTATCAAAATCAGGCTATACGTATAGCGCAGACGCGTTACAACATATCAAAAAAAATAGGCATGGAATGTAAAATAAACCATAACATAATAGGTATATACATTGGCACATAAGCCATATCTGCAGAGTGTCGGCTAACGATATTATACCTACACATTTACATTGAATCTTGAATCGTCCCTAATGAGGTACACGATACAGTTACCTACATATCTATTATATACATATCTTTGCAAAACAGATGTCATGTAGCTGAATTGACTGCCATCTATTTTCATGCTTTGTTACTAAGCACCCACTAGTAATCCGAACTGCTTCAGATCTAGCGACATCTAGCGGCTACGGTGGCGAAATAAAATAGCCCGAAGAATAGCCCGAGTTAGGAAGGAACCATTTTCTTGTATGGGATGGGGTATCTGTATGTAATATTATGTTATCTGTGCATATATTATCTAGTAAGTTCTAGAATGTATTCATAGGTAATTCTTATTGATAATACACTTGATTATTCTAGTAAGTACGATAGTGTTACATTTAAATTCCGGAATTGCAAATCATAAAACTTTAGTTTTAGTGCAATGATGGCTGGCTCATCCGTCTTACTCGTGAACGGGTGCTGCTTATGGGGACTGGTCTGTTTGGGTTACGGCCACTTATTAGACTATTTCCGTTTTATAAAATTGCAATACTATATGCTTGTGGTCACACTATTCCCCCTAATATGAAACATTTACAAGCTTTTTTGAAAAGAATAAGAACTGAGTTTATTAGACGGGAGATTTGACATATCATAAGAGTCTATAATAGATCTAGATGAATATTTTGACTCGTTTTGAGTAGAATTATAAATTGCCATTTTGATTTATAATTATAATATGACATATTAATTAGGTGTAATATAAAAATAATATGTAATTATTTAATTATTAATATTACATTTCATACACATGACAACAGCTGATAACACCTTCGGTCTCATCATTTACATGAAAATCGCATCAATCGTGCCCCGCAACCTCTGGAAAAAAGCACCTCCCACTTCCCATAATAAATCATTTTATCTCTTCTAAAGAATGACTAATGAAGACGGAAAGAATCCCTAAGAATGGAAATAAAAGATTAAAGTAACAATCTGCTCGGAGAGAATTTATGCTTTGAAACGGCTAATTCCCATCACTTTTTATATAATTTTATTAGTTGCTCGGCGATATTCGTGCAGAATATCTCCATTTAATGTATCCTCACGATTGTGATTCCATATGGTATGGCCAGGTGCACCATTTGTTCACTTCGTGGTGAAACCAACACTTGACATGGCCATATTTCGGTGGCTACAAATAAATAAATAATCCTAGACAATTAACTCACCGTCATCTAGTCCCAAGGTAAGGACATGGGTAGGTACTAGACGACTGATATAAATACATACTGAATATTTTTTTTGTAAATACATATATAATATACATAGAAAACACCCAAACAACAATAAACAATCATATTCATGAATATAAATGTTTGCAAGTGCGAGGAATCAAAAGCGCGACCATTGGAAGAAAAGCGGTGTCCAATACCGCTAGATAATATGATTAATTTAATTTGTTGTCAATATTTCAAACATCAGAGTGATATTTATAAGATTTACAGGTACATAATATATTTTTCTTGGCATTAGTCAGATTCGAATTCAAGATCTTTGGATTTAACTCGAATGTTACACTACTACACTGATACTCTCATATCTGTACTCATATCTGTATGTATTTAAATAAATTTAAATATTTTGTACATACTTATTAAATAGATCCATTAAAATATCTGTTCGTTGTTTTAACAGAGAAAGTTATAGTTCAATGGGTTGGAAATAAAACAATGAACATCTGAAGTGTAATCTTCTTAAGAATAATTTGGAAATGAAACAACTGAGATTGTAAGTCTTGGTAAGTGAAATTAGACGGTATGGAAGCATGATATTATTTCTTAGCATGATGGCACATGGTGGCGTGACATCCGTTCTATTCGAGTAACAAATAAAATTATGGGCAATCTGAACTCTATAGATGTTTCCGAAATAATTGATATATATTTTGGTATCTATCAGATTTTATGACTCTGTAAGAT